TTTTACAAGAAAAATTAAAAAGTATATAAAATAAATTAAATACAAAATTTTTGAAATTAGCTCAAAGTTTTGATTAAATTTTCAGAAAAAATAAATTGTATATACTAGGACTGTTCATAACTTAAGTAAGACCATAAATCATTATTAATTCAACTGATATTAAACAAGGTGACTTTCTGAAGTATCCAGTCTTTTGATCAACTTATTGAACAAAGGAAAATAAAAGATTAATACTTTAAGAGGAGTTTAAAAAATTACAATATAGAAACTTATATAACTAACTTAGGATATTAAACCTGAGGCACAAATAATTTAATTCATAAGTCTTAGATAAGAAGAATGGAATTAAGAATTCAAATAAAAAGATTCAGGCCTAGAAAGTCACTCTAAGATATTTTTTCATAAATTTATGTAGTCCTCAATCTAAATAAGAAGAAACGAAGAAGGGAGAATTATTAAATTTATTAAGAATAGAAATAACTACATTGAAATACATCAATGATTAATTGAAATTTAAGGAGTATTTTACTGAAGATGATTTCATCAAAGGCCTTGGTTAAAAAATAAGACTAAACTCTCCTCTCTCTTAAAAATTTAATAAATTTATAATGATTGAATATATAAATCAATAAAATTCGATGAAGTATCAGCAGAGGAATATTAGAAAATCTTTTCTTATATTAGAGCGATATCTTTTGATTATATTCATTTTATAATAGACAGAGAAATTGATCTTTATAATCTAAAAGTTAACAAATAAATATTTTCTTGCTACAAGATAAGTACCATAAAACCAAAAAAGATACATACATTTGTAAAAGTTAAGATATGGTTCCGATTATTATTTAAAGACATTTAATAATTTCATGGAATGAATATCTGCAGAGAAACTAAAAAAATCATTCAACAAAATGAAGAACTTAAGTTTTATTAAAAAGATAGATTCAAGAACAATATTAAAAGAAAACAATTTAATCTTCTTTTATATGTCTAATGCATTAATTCTCTTAAGGAATGGGATATTTATTATATCTAATCATGCTATAAGGAATAAGCTAAATTAAATGAAACTCCAGATTCTTTCAAAGTTTAAAATAACTTATATATTTATTCCTATTGAAAAAAAAAGAAGTAAGACAATAAAATGAAGTTTAATAAGGTTCAATATCTAATTCTTCTGGTAAAAAGATAACAATTCAAAAATATTACTATAAACATCAAAATTCTCATGTTACAATAAAAACCAAATCCTGGTGAGCACTCATGTCCATAATATTTTGGGAAACTGCTAAAATAGTCTATTCACTAGTGAATACTAATAAGGCTATTTTCTTAGCAAAACATATAACTCAGAAGTTGATTAAATGTTATAAGAAATTAAAGATATTGAATTCAAAAAAATATTTATAATTAGAAGAATACTATCTTTTAGATTCATACAGAAGATTTGGAATGATTACATCCTTACAATTATAATATATGCTAGCAATGCTTTAAGGAATTTGTCAAATCGTAATAAAAAAATGGTGGCATCGGAATTCTTTTAGGAGGATCCTTATTTTAAATAAATAAGGAATGATTGAAGTAAAGGTAGGATGGTTAGGATTTGTTGTTTAAGAGAACAGTTATTTGGAGAAATAAAGATGAAATAACTTAGATAAAAAATTCTTTTAAAAACATATATATAAATATAAGAATCCACTCATATGATCATAAAAATAGACCTTTGTTGTAGTATTCCATATTTAGAATTTATTAAAATCTAATTAA